GGGGACGGGCACCCCACGGGAGATCCGCGCCTTCCTCTCGCGGGACGCGCTTCGTGGCGGTGCGTGAAGGGACAAAAGCAAATACCCGGGGTTTGTGCCGCCTGGTTCTGGTCAGCCTTCGCTGCTGTCTGCGTTTTGAAACCCACCCGAGCGTTGCGTGGGCTGGCAGTGGCCTCTGGTGGAGGAGGTTTTCACAGAAACGTCCTCCGGAGAGGCTCGGTCCTCCAGCTAGCTCAGGAAACGTGTGCTCCCCTTCCCCTAGCATGGATGGGTTTTGCAGATTCCATATCCAAAAGCATGTAAGACTGTGGGACTTCAGTCCTGTGGCCAAGAGAACCACCAGTTTCCAGGTGGAAAGGGATCAAGCAACATCCTCCACAAGAGGGGGAATGGGGCCTGGTTTCCTCTGCCACTGTTTCAGCCCCCTTCCACAGCACCTTCTACCCTTGCCACTGTTCAGCAGCCTGGTTGTTGAGGGGTCTGCTCCCTGGCCTGATCTGTCACTGAGGGAATTGATATGTAAACCAACAGTGACTGTGCCATGTTCTTTTCTTAGACATTGGGCTAAAAAAACTCCTCTATGCTTTTGTTTCATTACATAGATACCTGTTGAAAGGACCCTGCAGTGCCTTTTGGGCGTGGGCTGGGGACTTGCTTTTAATTTTGTGCAGTGTTGGCAATATCTGGATTTTGCAAAACCTAAGCAAGAAGTGAAGATCTGTTATTTCATCACTCTACAGGAGATGAGATTAGCAATGTTGTACACAGACCAGGAATACGCAGGCATGGAGTGGGTGGCAACTTGGCCTCAACACATGTGGGATGAAAGCAGGTAAAACTTGCCTTTTGGCATGTAGTTAATCTCTAGAAAGCCACGTGAATTGTGTGCCGGTAGGTTAGGATGATAACATTTCAACTATGTTGCTATGCTAGGAAAACTGTTTAGCGTCAATGCGGTTAGCAGAAAAAGATTCTTTTGTAAGTAGATCTGAAGTGCAGGATTAAGTATATCACCAGGGCATTTATGGGAAATGGGTTTGCCTGTCACTGCATTTTTAGCGTGTGCTAGACCTTATTTACAAAACCTTGAGCTCAGAGCTCTTGTATTTCTTCTGCAGCAGCTAATCTTGTCAAGGACTGAAGAGTCTGCTGTGCTTTCTGACTTGCAGAACAAAGCAAGACATCTGATCTGTCTTGGCAGGTAAAATATCTTTCAGTTCACTGCTAAAATTTATTCAATTTGAAAGCTGTAAGTGTGGTAGGTTTCTTTTTTTTTTTTCCCCATTCAGTCTCTTATCACTTTCTCTGTGTACATGAATGCTTTTGTAAATGAAAGCATTGCTTCCCATCTTTCAGAAGATGAGTTACCAGGAAGCGCTGGAAATGCGTCAGTTTTAGGCCAAACAGAACCGTAGGAGACAACAAACTTCTGGCGGCCATAAATCAGATTTGTGACTGTGCGGCTCCATCTAGTGATTGCTCTGTACAACTGCAGCAGGAGGAGGCGAGTAACTGCGGGATGCTCTTGTCTTTTTCATGAAATGCTCGACATTTGTAAGCTTCCCCTGCTGTGTTGGCCTCTCGAGTCTCAACTCGATGAGCTGCCTCACGTGAAGCTCTCTGAAAGCTTCAAGGTTCTGAAATCTCCCAGGAGAACTGGTGAACAGAATTGCTAACATGCTTAAACACGTGTCTGAAACTTTTTGGTTTTTTTCCCCAAGTTCTTCTGCAGGAAGAGCTTACCTGTGGTGGCAGTGTCTGAAGGTGTTTTGCTGTGTCGGTGTATTGGACAGCATATTATTTACTTCAGATAAGGAAGCTGATTTACAGATATCCAAGTTGAGATAAAACACTTTCCTAGAGTGGCAAATGAGTTAAAGTCTTCCAACTAAATAGAAAGGAGACAGCTGGGTTTTTCTGAGCCATTGCAGTTTTCATTTTATATATCTCTGTGGTATATTACTGAATGGGAAACTTTGGTTCATCGGATTAGTTAGATACGTGCTTTCAGTGTGCTGTGGTCACTTGAGTGTTTAAACATTTTGGTAGACTTCTGCCTACTTCTTGTGCCGAGTAAGGTGAAGGCTGCCTAGAGATAAAAATAAAAACTGTGCGTGAAGTGGACTTGGATACAAACCCCACTGCTCCCTGTATCTGTAAGGCAGATCCAGTTGCGCAGATTTCACAGATCAGGATTGTTCCCAGTGTCGTAGTCAGCAGCTGTATTTACTGTGCCTGAAAGTGCCTTCTCCCTGGAATGGCGTTCCTTAAAGGGCAGGAGAGTTTCGGCAGCATCTTCAGACTGGAGCCAGAACATGGTCACTTTTGTGAAACATGAGGGGTAGGACAGACAGCGTTCAGACTGGCTAGTCAGTGGTTGACCTCAGGGTGTGCGAATCCTCACTTTATTCATATTGATAATCTATCCACAGCTTCACAGTCACTGGGTAAATGATACCTGCAGTAGTCTGTTCCTTTACTGAAACCCTCCTTCCAGGAGTGGTTTTGTAAGTGGGAATGTTGCACACCATCCACCTTCGTGTCATCTAGCCGTGTAGACTTATCATAGCAACGGGACTGGCAAAGCATTAGCCTGCTGATAAGGCACTCATCTGATTTCTGGGTTTACGCCTTTCATTTGCAACTATTTTCAGATAAATGAGAGTTTAATAAGCTGTTCCCTTCCACTGTCCTCATACTTGAAATCTTTTTCTGTGTTGTTTTTGTTGTTCTTCCCCTCTTCCCTCCCATCTGTCAGCTACCTGAGCTCAGCCGCGTGTTCTGGCAGGTGATGCCTTCCAGGACATCGGTGGCAATCTGTGGTCTGCTCCAAGGTGGTGGTAAAGAGCAAGATATAACCGCCTCGATTGTCTTACTGCTGCGCTGTAAGGAAGTAAAATCTGTGGGTGGCTCAGCCACTGGCCAGTGTGGATAGCCAGGGGAGGTCCACGCTGTGACTGAAAGCCCACCTGCAATGTAGGCACTAAGCCATGGTTGCTGTTGCCGTGGCTTTGCTAGACCTGTTGACAACATGCGTACTAAGCACTAGTGCCAGCTAGGATGGTTTTACTAGACCAGGGTGGGTATAGATGACTCTCTGGAAAATCATATTCACTCTGTGGTGGAAAGTCCTTGTACACCACAGACACCCTGAAGGAAGTGTGTATAGGCATGTTTGAACAGCACAACTCGCTGGAAATAACCCCCATACGTTTGTTGGAGCTATATTGGCCTATGACATTGTGAAGAATTCAGTGGAGTTTCACGTTGTGCCTGCTTCATTCAGGCTGCAATGTTGCTGGTGTGGCTTCGAGCATAATTTAAATGGTGTTTACTTCAAATCTTGGTTATTCACACGTTGTTCTCCTCTGTTTACGATGAGGATAGCAGTCCCACGGTTCTCTAAAACATGGCAGCATATACACAAAATACTGAGAAGCAAGTGTAAATACTACATCTATTTAGTTCAGTGAGTAAAGTAGAAATGTGTTTGGAGCTTATGTACAGCTGAAAGAAGAAGAGATAGTGGTCTTTGTCCCCAAAAGATTACAATATGAATGTAAAAAAATTCTCATGGGCAGGAAGTGTAAGAAGGAGTTGGATTCTATTGATCAGTGTGCTTGGCAGGGGACTAATTGTCAAGTTTCTCAGGAGAAATCAGAGCAGATAGGTTTTAAGGAGAATTCGGGAGGAACGAAACTGAGGTTTGGAGCTGTTTACAGGGAGCTTACCTCAAATATGCATGCAGAATGAGTAGAAGCCCAAGTACAAGGAGGAACCGAAGAAGAATGCATTTGCGCATTCAGATGGTCAGACTAATTGCTGAGAATGCTGATTGAGATGGCATTCTGGATGAATGGGACTTGGATGAGATTAGAGCTGGGGAAAGAAGTTGCAGTAATCAAGGTGATGAGAGCTTGGACAAAAGTTTTTAGCTGTGAAGATGAAAATGCAGAAATAATCTTGAAAATATATCCAAGTCTTTCTGAATGTTTTTGTATGCTTGAATGTGAGGGCCTGGAGAGAATTTAGAGTTGAAAATCAAGAGTTACGAGTTGAGCTCTAGGCAGAATGGTCATTGTTTTCTGTATTGATGGAGAAGAAGATTGGAGAGCTGAGGCTGACCTGACCATAGCCATCCTCAGAAAGGTCTTTGAAACAGATTGGGATTTTAGTCTGGCTACAAGGAGATAGGAGTGAAGAGGCAGATCTACAAGTTGTCCTGATCGACATAGTGGATGAATGCATTATTCAGAAAAACAGGAAGCCATGAATTCCCATACCTTTTAAGCTATTCACAGATAAACAAACTCGTAAGCATTCTGTTGTATTTATTTATTGAATTTTAGTAGGTTTTCGTAATCTCTTTGGTTAAAACTGAAACAGAATTTATTTACCATATTTATGTGTTCATTTGTCTGTCTGTCTTAGGTGTTCGAGAGAAAACATGTATATATTTTACAATTTTACATCCCACAGTGTATAACCCCTTGCAACAGCTAGATAAATCAATTGATGGTGGCGTATTTTAGAGGACTGTATATGGAATTATGATTTTTTCATTCACAATTGAAATTTCTTTTTTCTTCCAGTTGGTTTTGCTATTGTATTTTTCTGTTCCATCCCTGTTATCTCTCTAGTATAGTGTACACTAAACATTTCATTTTACAGTTCTGTAATGCAGTGTTTGCCATTTACTGGCATAACCTCCTTGACCTTAGAGATATCATTCCACATGTATCTGCTGTAGCAATTTTTTCGCCACAAATGTTCATACATC